ATATTTTATTGAGCCTGAAGGACTTTAAAGAACGTACTTTGAAAAATTCTTAAAAGAATTCTTTGAATTGTTTGTAATATAAGCGTTGTAACGTGACTTGGGGGAAACATGCAAAAGAAAATAAACATTTCCAAGTATCGTATGCACACTTGCCTTGATGCCGGCCTCGTAATTGTTACTTTACGATACTTATGGGGTTCTTATCTGGTTTCCTTGTGGGGCCCGTACACACAACCAGCTTTGTATTTCTCGCCTCGATATCTCGGCATCTTGCGACCTATTCTCGAAGGTAGGAAACGTAGGTAGGAAGATGAAAGAGAGAGGGGGGCCGCCGTTTACGGGCGGTAAGTCGGCCAATTTATGGCACTCAGAAATTTATAGGTTCAATTTCCGCGATATTTAAACGACTCGACGACTAAAATCCTCGCCATCCGCCGATCCAGCTCGCTTGCGAGCACGCACGAGAATTTTCGCCGATTTTTTTTTTATTACTCCGAAACGCGGCATAATAAAATAACTGTGCCATTGTCGGTGTTGGCGTGCATTCTAATTGGTTATGCAAACTATGTTGAAAATCTAGAAAATCGCGCGTATACATACCGGTTTGAATATAATAAATAATAAAACACAATTTTTTTTTGTTCCTTGCATATTCCGTTATTGAATAATGATTTTAAATCGCGAATGCATTTTTATATATTTTTATTAAATATCTAATACGTGTACATATATTCATCATTGAAAAAAAAATTAAATCGCAAATGAATGTTTACTACGGAGTTAATTCAATTTACCGTTCACCAATTTTGTGTTGTATATATTTGATAATTTTGTCGCTTTTCACCGACGCGCGCACGGGTCGTGATATTTATCAAAACATCGTAGTCCGGACTGTGCGCGTCCTAGAAACGATCTCGATGGAGTTTTCGCGAAGCGAGTACGTACACAATACAGCACACAATCCCTGCCAAATATACTACTTGTGCCTGGAGAACGGTGGAATATTAATTTAAACCAACGTTATATATTCCGTATACCATACACCATATTGGAACGGTGTGTGCGTGTGCGTGTAAATTAAAGTAAATAAAGTAATAGTGTAATTAAAGTAAATAATTCGAAATATTTTCACTCGGAAACGATATATATTTTGCGCAAACATGTATATCGGATAAGGATTTTAAAACCGCGTTCTTCGAACGTTTCGTGGCTAGCGATTCGATGCCTCTATAATGAGGCTCATTCCCTCTCTATCTCTCTGTCACTCTCGTTTGGGTAAAATCAATTTAAATATAGTTCGTTAGTTCGAGGCGCGTTGTTATCTCCCAGAGGAAAGAAATGGTTGTTATATGTATAGCGACAATGTGCATCGGGAAGCACTTTGGAGGAGCTATCCGTACTCGCCGGTCGCACTAGGCAAATTGAATTTACGTAAGAAAATTGCGCGATACCGTTGCGTCCCGGTCTGAGCGGAGCTCAGAGCTCGGAACTCGCAACTCGCGGGAAGAGAGTTTGCCCCTTTACAGAAGTACAGACCCTCTCCACGTTGCGTTAAACCTTTCTCTTCCCCTTTCCCTCTTTTCTCTCTCCCCCCTCCCTTCCCTCTCTCTCTCTCTCTCTCTCTCCTTCTCTCTCGAACGAAGCGTGGAAGCGCCACGAGTGCTAGAGGTAAATCCCAGGTGTCTGCCTCATCTCACGACTGGCATCGTGTTACGAGGGGGCTGCGAAGGGCTGCCGGAGAGGCAGCATTTCCGGCTCTTTGTCTTCGACGATTCGCGCGGAAATCGTTTGCGAGCGAACCGCGCCGTTTTCGCGTGTCTGTTGGCCGCATGATACGATCCGCGAAATCCTTTCGCGACGGACTCCGCCCTTCGTCTGAGGGTGAAATCTTTCGCGATCTTGCACCGGAGATGCGTCGGAGATCGCGGAAAGTCAGACGCGAAAGCGCGCTCAAAGATTTATATACAATACGTATACAGGCGAATGCCAATCTTGACACGAGCGAAATATCTTTCTTGAGTAATTCTCTTTCTCTCTTTTTTTTTTTTTTTATAAATGTTTTCGGTATAGTTTGTATAATGTTTTTCGCACAGCTGTTACAAAAGTATCGTTATTACGAGACACTCAATTGCGTTTGTCGTAATGACGTTTGCAAAATGTTATTTTGCAAGAACGATATTTCCTCGAGAAATAGCTATCGTTGCGCATAGTTACATAATCAACATTTGAATAATCGAGACACTTTCTATTTAGCAAGTCAAAAAACGAGAGGTACTGAATACGCTTCATTAGCATTCTCCAAAAACAGAAATGTCACTATACTCAACAATTATTCTCGTCGTCTCTTCAATTTCTATATGCGTAGAAATACATTCGTAAACGTTACCTACGAAAGAATAAGCGTTTTTGCCCCGACTATACACTTCGTTCAACAAGGGTGGCTCATTTGCCTCCAACCCCCCGGTTTCTTAGTCTACATTCACGTCTAGAATCTGATCGGCACGGCGATTTGGATGCAAGCCAAGACGGGCTTCATCCTGACCTGCTCCCGTATAACGCGCGATACACATTTCGTACATTCACTCGTACGATCTCGTGCCACGCGAGTTTGCCCACGAGGAGAAGAGATAGTGCTGGGGAAAGAAAAAGAGAAAGAGAGAGAGAGGGAACGCGCGAAAGCGATTACGTGGGTGTATTTTGCGGAAAAACAGGCAGTCAAACCGATATAACCGCCTGTCTACAACGGCAGACCGGCTGTTCGCATAAAGCCATTGTTGTTCTGCATCCAAAACATGTTCGTACCGCGCGCTATCATCCTCCCTCTTCTTCCCTCGCTCCGGTTCTTACGTTCTCGATTATGCAAATCACTCTAGCGAGCAAAGTGACATTTTCGCAAACTTACGACTCGCCGAGGATCGCGAGTATCTCTCGTTCTCATCTTCTGAAATTTGAAACCGCGCAAGTTTTCCAAACTTGTTTATACGAATTAAGAAGGCGCAAATCGAGTCGTTATTGAAACCAGATATTAGATAAAGATTGCGAAAATGTAATTTATAAAAATTAATTGATAAAAATGATTATATTATCCGATTTAAAAAGAATAAAGAGATTCACACACACAGAAAAATATTATTCTATTGCTAAGTAAAATGATTATTCAGTTTACTTTACTTCTTTTAAATAACAGTTATCTTTAACAAAGAATATTTTCTTAATAATAGTCTTAAGTTTATTTTAAGACTATTATTAAGAAAATATTCTTTGTTAAAGAAAACAAATTTTAGAAATAATTATTACCATGTACTCAAAAAAGTAAATATTTTCTTTTGAAGAATATTATAAAATTTTATCGAAGAAAAGTCAGATATGGTTAATTTAATGTAAGAAAATTTATTAGATCAGAAAAATTTAATGTATTTCTTTCAATTATATAATTTAATATTCTTGATTGAAGTATTAAATTTATTAGGATTCAGAATATATTTTGAATAAATTTGATGCTTATGATGAACTTATGATAGATTTGCGGATATATGAACTTTTGAAATACTTGAAACAAGTAATATTTACTTGTATATAGTATGTATTTTTCTGTGTGCATATTGGGAAGTGTCAAAAAATACCTTAATTAAGTAAATACTTTTTGGATATTTCGATTTGACGTAATCGAATAATTTTCTTGTCCAAATAACGTTTCCGGCGTTTGTCGTTTATACCTATAATATACCGTGCAATGTGTACATTCGTAGTTGCATAACGAATGGTGTCAGGCTGGCAATATCCTTTCGCTTCACGGTTTCCATACTGGTTTCTTACTCGTCGAGCCCACGTCCTTTTGTGTCTGCACGCATATATCCGGATTTGCAACAATACCGAGGCGGCAATTTTCTCGAGTCGTTTCTCGTGGAAACTGTAGCCGGTTGTAAGCGTAAACTATATGTATAATGGATAATATAATAGCGAATACGTCATAAATTATCCAACTTTGATTTTAAAACGGCTAAATTAAATATAATTATATTGTATGATCACCGTATGATCAAGTATAGTAATATTTTTTAAAATTGAAGTGTTTTAATAACTCTCGAATATCTCTAAAATATTCTATAGATTTGCTCGTCCTAATTAAGCATTCGATATTGTAAAATTGATTATGCTTTAGGCGCGGTATTGGAGATTTTATCCACTATCAATTTTCTAGTATGTAATCGAACAGAAAGGGGGAAGAAGGCAGGTGTGGTCGCAGGCCGGTTAATTGAAGCCTGTTATTAATTAGCAAATATTATGAGATATATTTGTTACGCTTTTACGCAGAAATGTCGCAATATTTTACGTTCTTATAAAAATACATGTTATAAAGAGAGAAATAAAATTGATGACGTAAAATGCAATCGATACGTTTCATCACGTGTGATTTATTAAATCTAAATAGCATAAAAAAAAATCCATATATTTTAGAAGATTACATATTTCCTTCTATCGACAATAAAAAAAATCTAGCAAAAATCCAAGAGATTTAAAAGTCTAATTTTGTCCAATTATATCCCTATTTTGCTTCTTCGGTATTTTGAACATCATTTAAATATGAAACTTCGAGATTGGGTGACATTGACCGATGAGCACCACTGTACGAGGATTCCTTGGGTGTTCGCGCGCGCATACGGCACGCCAGTCTTTTAACGAAGCGAAGGGCAGAGCAACGAAAAAAAACCGGTAGTATAGGTATCGGCACACATTCTATTCCGTTTGCACGATGCGCCGCCGTACACGCATACAAATGCATTCGCGTACATACGCGTACGGTACGCGACAAATCCACCTACCTACGCACACACACATACACGCGTGCCATTCGCAGCGACGTAGTACGCCCGGCCGCCGCGCTCGCGTAAGGGCGCGCTGGTATCCCCCTCTCGAAAACCTAACTCTCTACCCCCTACCACGCGCGGCGTCCCTTCAGCCGGCTGATCCCCGCCATCCCCACCACTCCCCACAGTCGTCGCCCCACCATCGTGCCGTACAGACGTCTGGAGAGCGTTACAGCTGCCGCTACAGCCGCCGCGCTTACGGAGTGCGCGAAGCCCGTCGTGAAGAGACGCGAGACCGCGCATCGACGCCGTTGTCGTCGTTTCCCCGTGTCTGGCCGGTCGGCCGCTAACCTAAAAATCGCCGAGACGCCGTCAACCGGCGTGGGCCTGTCCGGCGTCTAAAGTGGTGCGTCGCCGGTGGTGCCCCTCGTCGACGAACGATCCTTTGTTTGGCGCGCGCGTGCCTGCCGACGTCTGGCGTCGAGATTTTGAGGAACGTGATCGTACGAGGAGTGTTCTTCTTCTCTGATACGTGATATTCTAGTATTGTGCTCCCCCGTAAAGGATCTCGTTTACTTATCCTACTGTGACCTTGAACTTGTGAGTGTGTGTGCGCGTCTATTCCACGGCCGATCGCCCTCTCCTCGAGACGACAGCGAGGGTGGGAGAACGAGGGAGAAGAAGAGGGAGAGAGAGAGAGAGAGAGAGAGACTCGGGTGCGACGTCGGGATCCTGGATGTGAACAAGGATGTTTTCCTACGCAACCTTCCCAGTGGGGTAAGCAGTCTCACGCAAGTTTTTTTTTTTTCTTTTTTCTTCGTAGCAAGTTCTCTCTCGGAGATCATTCCTCGCGGAAGAGTGATTCGTTGGCGGTTTTACATCCGCGATTTGTCCGCCGAGAATCTCGTTCTTCGATATTATTTTCCGCACGCATATCTTTCGGGAGTGAATGTGTTTTCGCGCCGCCTGTGGAAATAGCCGATGGCGTATTTTTTTATCACGTCGACCGAGACCAGGTGTTCCGGGCCAGGCTTCCTCAGCCGGCGAGCTCGACGATTCTTCCGAT